ACTTCAATCAATCCTATGTAAAGCAAAGGACAAAATGAAAAAAGAAGAAAAACCAAATATCATCTACAAAATCAACTGCTCAGACCGTGAAAGGCACTACATAGGACAAAGTGGACGTCCTCTTCAGCTTTGTCTGCGTGAACATCGATTAGCAGTCAAACGCCATGACGATTATTCCCTTATATCAATACATACAGACAACTATGGACATACATTCGATTGGAACAGTGTCGAAATGCTGGATAGGAGGAGCACAAAGAACACTGGTGGATTTTTCGAAGCCTGGCACCCAGGTCGATCAGCAGTCAGCAAACACATCGACACTGACCCAATTTATCAACCAATCAGAAAAGCCATAGTCAAACATCAGACCAAGAAACAGATCAAAGGGGAATCCGATCAAAATACAGGTGTAAACAACGACAGGTCTAACGTCAACAACAACCAATCAAGATCGAGGTTAACAGAACAATCTACGGGTCATAAGAAGGGAATTTCGAATACTTCACGTATGTTTGAAGTTTGTGCCGATGTTATTCAGAAGGACAATCAAAGATTCACAACCAACATATCAAGCTCAGAGACTGACATTCCACCACAACTAAAATGTGGATTTACATGACCTGGATAAACAGATCGTATACTAAAATGTTAAGTTCGTCACGATTTAGGCTTGAAATTAATATGGGCTCACCTTAGTTGATAAACGCGAACGAGACAACGAACCAGATTCCAGGTAGGCCACCCTGATCCAATGGCTAACCAAAAGTCTTGATACAGTGTAGAAAGCATATTCTACAATCACTCAGCAAGCACAATGCAATCAAGCACACAAATCTCTATTTTATACATCATAGGAACGTCCTTGGGACAGTCACAATAATAGCACACTAACACAGCAGCCAACCACAGTAAAGGGTCTTACTGGTGAGAAACGAAATCTCAAGGTCAACTGATCAGCCCATGCTCGCAAACATGGAATCCGAAATAAAGCATTTATCAAGCTAGTTCTGGGTATCTAAAGCCCTCATGTTCCTTCCCTTTTTTAATAGCGTGCGCTCCTGTAGTTGATTTGCATCTTGACTATCGTTCGCCGCCGTTTGAGAGGATACCTTCTGGAACGAAGGACAGCTTGGGGCTGCCCGTAAATTGAAGGTATCAAGCATGATGTCAAGGGGAAAGTTTTCTGCCACTGATGGGAGATCTGGGGCTAGCCGTTTGCGTATCTGGTTTCGACGGCGTGACCACCTGTTGCCTCCTACCTTTACTTTGTGCATAACTTGCCAAACTCTTCTGACCATTCGCACTTTTGCCCAAGGACTACAGTTCTTTCTGTAGTCACGGGCAAACACGGGCATCCCACTTCGTAATAGGATTGCCTTTGCTGCTTTGTCTCTACTGATGTTGGCGCTTTAGTCGGATGCATCAGTCTTTCGCCCATCAGGATTTTTTCTGGGGACGTTTGCTCCGGTAACAACTCATCTGGTGTTGTTCGACAGACGTACAAGAAATTTTGTAACGCATCGACTGGTGGCCCCTCCCCTTTTGACTTAACCAATGCTCTTTTAAACGTATCCACAAACCTTTCCGCTAGCCGTTGGCAGAAAGCTTGGAATTGGGTAGAGGTGAATTGCAACCCGTTTTCAGGTACAATCACATCTGGTGTGCCATTTCGAGAGAAAGTTTCGGTGAGGAGCTGTATTGTCTTAGTTGTCGCGGGCGGCATTACAAGGCTGATTTCTGGCCATTCTGAGGCGTCGACAACAACTAAATACGTAGTTCCATTAACTGGACCAGTGAAGTCGACATGTATCCTGGACCAAGGATGCTCAGGTTTGGGCCATGAAACCGGCGGTAGGCATTCATTCATCTTTGCCACCTGCTGACACCGCATGCATTTTTCAACCAACACTGTGACACACTGATCCAAGAGAGGCCAGTATGCATAACTCCTGGCTATGGACTTCATTCGTTTAACCCCAGGATGACCAAGATGGAACTATCTCAGCACTTTTGCACCAAGGGATTCTGGTACCACCACTCTTTCGCCAAACAAAAACAGTCGTTCACGATGCATAGTGAATCCCGCCGCTGATACGGTTGCTTCATGTCATCATCAAGCTTCTTCGACGGCCAACCGTTAGTGACATATTTCATCGTACTGGAACATACCACGATGAGTATTGTTAGTAAGCAGCTCTTTTGATGCTTCATCTACTTGCACTTGCAAATAAGCATCAGCCAAATCGAGCTTTGAGAAAAACTTTCCCCTATTCAACATAGTGAACAGATCTGTCGGTACTGGCAGAGGATAATGATGCTGTTCCAGAGCTGCATTGAGACCTGTAGAGAAGTCAGCACATATACGTATGGCGCCATTGGCCTTCTTGATAACGACTATAGCTGCTGCCCAAGCAGAGTAAGAAACGGGAGTAATAACTCCATGTCGTTGAAGGCGATTCAGTTCTTTGTCTAATGTTGCTAATGTTGCATAAAGTACGGGTCTCTTTGGAAGGAAAGCAGGCTTAGCAACAGGTTTCAACGGAAATGTTGCTTTCATGGCAGTGCACTGACCAATTCCAGTTTAGAAAATGGTTAAAACTGCGTCACCAGCTTCCTCGTATATGATTCAGGGTCATGTGGTTGTGATACCAGGTGGCATATGGTATTTAACGGGACATCAGCCAATTTCAGCTGGTCAAAGCAATATAAACTAAGTAAATTTAGATCATCACCTGGTGATGAGCTTTGATGGGAAGATATTAGGCTCAATGCATTGGTTCTGGATCTAGGAACAGACTTCTTGGTACTTCTGGATCGGTTTGGCTTTCTCTTTAAGCAAAAACCATCTTTATGACCGATGACCTTACACTTTCTGCATTGATGTTGCCTAAATGGGCAGTTTCGTACATAGTGCCATGAGCCCCAGTGCCAGCAAGGAGCAGGGCGATTCATTTTCGACTTTTGGATTGAGCTGGAGTGGGATGAACTGGGTGTCGAAGGGGCGGATTTATTCTGATTAGGTAGCTGCTGTACTGAATGCACTTCAGATCGTCCTGACCCACCACTCTGCACTATAGTTGTGTCTTGTTGTAGATTAATGAGATGTTGGTACTCATTAGTCATGTCACTAAGGGTGAGCTTCGGATCTTGCTCTAACCGACATAATAGCCCTGTTCCAATGTCAATGAACTTATGAGACTGGAGGTTGCAGATGAGTATGACGATAACGAGTGTTAAACAGTGACGAATTGTCGCCAAAGTGTGGGCTCGATGTCTGAACTGTCTCAGAAAATGAACGATCTCATAGGTTCAAAGGCAAGATCGAATTGCAGTACTTGTCTAGCTCACTTGCACCCAACGTTTGAAGTAGCGGCCGAACCTTCCAAGCATCATCTTGATTGGCGAAATCGAATTTGAATAAATCTTCATAACCTCAGAACCACATGTCAAAAGTAACATTGGCATCAAGATCATAGTGAAATTCAGCTATGCTATTGCGATGCCGTCGACCGATGGAGCTGTGGTTGCATTAGATGAGCTGGGCTGAGTGGAAGGGAAATCTTCATGTCTGTCAACATCTGCATCAATTTCAGCTGCTGCTCAAGTAATAATTCAAGTTTGGCAGGATCCATGTTCCCGAAACTACCGTCGCCACCTGTTAGGTTCGTCACTAGGTATGCTTGAAACTATTATGGGCTGACCTTAGTTGATAAACGCGAACGAGACAACGAAACAGAGTCCAGGTAGGCTACCCTGATTCAATGGCTAACCAAAAGTCTTGATACAGCGTAGAAAGCATACTCTACAATCACTCAGCAAGCACACAAATCTCATCGATTTATTGTTATGCTCGTTTCGAAGTACACTATAACGGGTTCACTTTAGTCGAATAATGAGACAATGAACCAGCGTCCAGGTAGGCTACTGTGATCCCCTGACCCAAATGTACCAGCAAGAAGTCTTGATATATCGTAGAAAAAGTATACTACAAACACCCAGCCAACACACAATGAATCCAAGCACTCAAATCGAGTTTATTTATACTCCAGAGAGACGTGCTTGGGAAAATCAGGAAAACGGCACATTAAAATGACACAGTAACCAATCACAGCCAAAGATTTTCCTGGTGGGAAATGAAATCTCAAAGCCAACTGATCGGCAAACGTGAAATCAAAAATAGAGCATTAATCAGGCGAGTTCTGGGGATCTAACGTCCCCAAAATAAAATCATTAGATTTAGCGGTGCGGGCTGATAATTGTACACGAGATGTGTTGGCCGTGGAGGTACGAGAGTTGTCAAGAAGTGGGGGAAGGATTTAATCGCTAACAAGTTGATTCAGTGTGTTGTAATGGATATGAGTGAGGTTGTTATTTCCTGGCTGCCTATAAGAGATATTAGACATAAGAATATTCCTAGGAACGGAGGTGTGTAATAAACGAGTTTTGCAACGATAAATACAGCATAGTCTTTCACTGCATTTTGAATCCTAGGAAATATGAGTTGAGGATAGTTACTTCATTGTGGTCGGTTCGCAGTGAATATGGGGCCTCCAACTCTCGTTCAATTACATTCATAGGTTTGCCTAAGGGAAAGTCAAGCGGAATGCCAGGAATGACGAGGATCGAAGGGATATTTTAATGATGCTTGGGATGTTTTCCAGTTAGTGAGTTAAGCTTGCTAGATTATACGGGCAGGTATGTTATTCAATGTCCGTTCTCCGAAACCAAAACCTGGGCTCAGTCTGACCACATTGCGAACAGCCAGTGTGCCACATACAACACTTGAAATCCTGTAATAAATCTCTGGATTCTGATAATGGTTAAGACCAAGATTATCTAACGTTTCACTGGCCATCAAATTCATAATCGTAGACAGATTGATGTCAGCAGGTTTTCTGCAGCCCAATATCAAACCAAACAAAAGTCAGGGCTATATATATATATATATATATATATATATATATATATATATATATATATATATATATATATATAGTTAAACAACTAACTTCCAAAAAACACGTTTAAAGATTACCAATGTAAAAATGTTCGGCTGTGAAGAAAAACATGCAAACAAAAGGAGTAAAAAGTAGCATTCGTTGCTAAGAACTGAAAGTAGTGTAGTGATTATCACATTTGCTAGAAAAATTATCACACCAAAAAAATTTGAATCACAGTGTATATCTTAACTGAAGGCGAAAAAAAAGCAGAAATGTACAAAAAAAGTATTGTTAGATATGAATAGGATCGGTTGAACTAATACCTATCAAATATTCCCTAACACGTTTCCACCTAGAGTTGTGTCGATCAGATGGAAACAGATCTTCAGAACTCAAGTCTGATCTGGAATCAACGGGATTATTATCAGAAATGGTGCGTTGTTCTTGAAGTGAACTAGAATTTAATTGTGTATCATTTTGATGCGTTGATTGTTTCAACTTTTCACCTATCACCCAGAATTCTCGAATAATCGATCTCAAACAGTGTATATCATTTGATGAAGTGAATTGGATATGGTCAATCCATGTCCAAGAATCATTGGTAGAAACATCAAAAGGTCGATTGTTGAGAGAATCATTCATATTCTTTTCGGAATTTTCATGAGAATTTATTGATAAAAACTTATCACTAGCAGAACTACCAATTAATTCCAAGAATTTTGACTCGACTCCGATGATGTTGTCGATAAACCGCATCAAAAGTTTATCAGGAAAGTGTTCAAACCATGAGAAGTAAGAATTATCGATTTCATCTGTAATCACAGATGCGTAAACTATATTCTGAAAAAGAAAACAACACGTATTTAGGTAGTAAAATATCCTGTGATACATTACACATAGAAATGAATTCAATAAAAACTAATCGTTAAAAACAACTATATTACTAGCTTATTGTTTGGTATTTGATGACTAAAGAAAGATATTCCATTTATTACTTGATTTACTATAGTGAATAGTTTAGTAAAATATGTGAATATTAACGTAAATTCACTCTGATTGATGAACTAATTTAACAAGTAAAAATCCGTATACTTGGCTTCAAGTCACACTTTTAGTGTGAAGGCTAGTGATACTACCCGGTTGACCAAACCGAAGTAGATAAAAGAGATGACTAGAATCTCCAACTTGGTAGTTGAAGATTAAACGCCACAAATTCATGGTATATCAAGATATCTCACTGGTAATCCTACATTTTTTAATTCTATACGTCAGAATATCGAATCATTAGGAAAGAATACAAATAGTAAAATTATGAACATAAGAAAAATTAAACAGGAGCATGGCTTAGTTGTCCGTTAGTGACTAGTTATAAAATTTTACATCCCATAACACATTTACGCAATTAATTACGCCTGCTACACCTAGTGGAATACAGGCGACCGATAAGTATGTTCCAGACTAATCTATTCTAGGCTTTCCTCTCCAGTTTTGTCCAACTTTTGTTCATTCTTCTTATATGTTTCTCTATTTCCCGGCGTAATGTGCTTCTCGGCCTTCCACTTTTCCTTTGCTCCTGAAGGTTCCAAGTGAGGGCTTGCTTTGAGGTGCAGTTGGGTGCTTTCTGCAGTGTGTGACCTACCCACTTCCAACGCTTCCTCCTGATTTCCTCCTCCACTGCAATCTGGTTTGTTCTCTCCCACAGAAGATTGTTACTGATGGTGTCTGGTCAACGAATCCGAAGTATTTTGCGTAGACAACTGGTAATAAACACTTGTACCTTCTGGATGATGCCTTTCGTAGTTCTCCAAGTTTCCGCTCCATACAGTAAACTGTCTTGACATTTGTATTGAAAATCCTGATTTTGGTGTTGATTGATATTTGTTTGGAGTTCCAGATGTTTTTCAATTGTGGAAATGCAGCCCTTGCTTTACCGATCCGCGCCCTCAGATATGCATCGGATCCACCTTGCTCGTTGATGATACTCTCCAGATATGTAAAGGCTTTTACGTCCTCCAAACCATCCTCATCAACAGTGATTTGGTTGGTGCATGTTGTGTTGTATAGAAAAATCTTGTTTTTCCCTTTATGTATGCTGGGACCTGCTGCTACACTAGTCGTCTTCTCTTGCATTTGTTGTTGCGTGTGTGACAGAAGAGGCAGAGCATCTGCAAATGCCAGACCGTCCAGCTGCATCCAAGCTACCCACCGTATCCAGTGCTTACCTCCAGATGTCGACGTCTTCATAATCCAGTCGATCACCAGGAGAAAGAGAAAGGGTGAGAGTAAGCAACCTTGCCTGACACAGGTCTTCACCTCAAAAGAGTCTGTCACCTATCCTCCGTGCACGATTTCGCAGTTTAATCTATCGTACAAATTTCGTAAGATGTTGACAATCTTCTCAGGGACTCTCCATAGTGTCAAAGAAGCCTAGGTAAACCAATTAATGCACGACTGTATAATATGTTTTACTTTTTTTCTAACTCAATCAACTGGTCGATCCATCTAACCAAACATTTCACTTTCATGTGTAGCATACAATTTGACTAATATTTAATTGTGGTAGTTATTACTAGTTGACTTACTGGATCAAATGACGCTGATATCCAAATAAGTGTATCATTTACAATACGTGATTCAGCTATAGAATCATTCACATGATTGTGATAATAAATTTCAGTAGTGAACAAAGAGCAAATTGATAATTCTTCATTGTTATCATAATTACAAGTCGGAAAGTTTGACTGTACATATTTAAGAGCAGCTGATCCCCAATAATACAGTATCATACAGTCTACATTTTGATACTGTACACGTAAACCCATATCAGATGAAATATATGGTCTAAACAGAATAGAGTAAATAGTTTTGATAAAATAGTAAAACGGAATATATTCGATTGGTTTTACACATGATAATAGATTAAGCACAGGAATGATACATCAGATAATAAACAAATCCCTACATAGATCATATGTACACAAGTATTGCAAGTCTCACCAGCAACTGAGAAGTTGCTGAGAACTGATGGAACAGGACAATTGTTTATTGAAGCAAGCTACAAGCCGTTAACGCACAGTGAAGTCCTAGTAGAACTCAACCTTTTACACATAAAAATAATCTATGTATCTGTTATAGTTGGACATGAATGTTTTCGTTGGGTAAGCAATCTCAGCATAGTTTCACCTGCTATGTATGTCAAGTCATTATAAACATACATAGGATGAAAAAAAATTAAATTATCTCTAAAATTATAAACTGTTAAATATGTGATACACTTTATCAAAATAAAGTGAATGCGAATGGCTGAAGGGAGTGTTCAAACAAAAATGTATTCATATTAATTCCAAAGAAAATCCAAGTGCAACTGAAAATACTATACCGTAAACGTAGGGATTCTGACTACAGAATCAACTGGATTCTTGGTAAGAGTTTAAGATTGCTCAGATGAACCAACAACGATGTATTATAGGCTTAACTCAACAGTTAAATTAGAAGTAACAACACTATTAGAGCTGAAATTCCTCATGGTAATTTGAAAACGAATCACCATTATAGTATCGATTAGGTGAGAGATTACAGAAATAAACAGCGTTAACAGTCGAGAAACATTTAGATTAACATCGGACTACCTATAGTTGGCATATTAACGAAAATAATACGCTGATTATATCTTACAAACTAAAGCCCAGAAGTAAAATGATACAGATAAAAGTCAATCATTAATTTTGGAGAAACACTGGACAGTATAAATTTACAATATATTTCAATTTTAACATGTAATACTTCATATAACAAATAAATATGTAGCAATGAGGTTATTATTCATACTTACTCTCCATATTTACTTGGTATGGTCATCTCTATTGAGTTGTTGGTACCATGTAATAAACCTTTGCTAGTTTGAGCAATTAGTTCGGCAGCTCCAGCAACAGGTTTGGTAAATACTCCAACAAGACCACGACCAAAACCGCCAAGAGTAGTTAACAAAAAATTTGGAGTTGAGTGAGTATCAATTGATGAATTGAAAATACCATCTGTTGGAACAGTTGTATTGTCCATTGTTTTAAAAATAGCTTGCAATGGTTGATCAGCCACTCCGGCTATGGCACTCAATAAGCACAAACCTAAACTGCTCAATCCTTGTTGAATTCCTTCACCAAATCCTTTAGGTGTGTAATGTCGTCGAATATGATCTTGATGCTGCTCATAATGGGGATCAAGAGAAAGATAATCCAAGTTTCTAGCCAAACTTGAAGCCATGCCACTGATAGATAACAATAAGCCGCTATAAAATAAAGCATAGAATTGAAATAAAAAAAAACATTACATGTGCCTATAACAGTAAATCATGCCTAATTTTAGTATACGGTAGCAAAGAATGCTAACTAAATAAAAGTGTATAGGTGTAAAATCGCAATGTTAGAACTTATAGTCAAATGGATCAGATGAAAAATGTTGATCCTAGTAAAATTTAGCATGTAAAAGTGTTGAACATGTTAACGAGTCCTCTAAACTCAATCCATCAATATCCTCGTTATTTACAGTCCTCCTGTTTAATGAAATAATAAAAAAGTAATAAAAGATACAAGTTTTACATGTTCGACTGCATTTCGCTATAACACTTTATTGAGTATCAACTGGAATTGAACAGTCTAGAAATAGAATGCTTGAAAATGACTTCCTACCTGCTTACAAGTCTGTTCTTTAGTCGATATTTAAAAGTCTAACATACAACAGTATGATCACTCAGCCATAAAATTTTATTTTACAAAAGGTGAGGTACAATAAGTGTATCTCATTAAGAACACTCTCCAATTGTGTCAATAAACTTATTGTCTACGTATTCATAGTTCCAAGTACTCACTCATGGAAACCCTTAGAAGCCAATCTCTTTCCTCCTTGTCAGTTCACAGTTTATCGTCAGTATATGTATTTCATTGTTGTTCTTACAAAACTGCTTAGCATTTACGGAACAAAAATAAATCTTAGGAGATTAGACCTAGTATCAAGTAGGTTCTTCAATGGTTATGATAAGATTAATGTAAATTTTGTAAAATACTATTTTATGAAATCAATTTAATTGATCAGTCATCTTCTACTTTCTCTTCAATATACATTCATGATTACATAAACCTAGTGAAGTTTGCACGAAATTTTCAATTTCAAATGAGAATAATATGAGAATGTCTTGAAATTCAAATAAGCAATTGATTCATTAGTGTATTCAGCTAAAAAAAATACACAAATAAATAAAAAGTAATCTTTGTGTTACCCAGTTGTTCGACGAGTAAGCAAACTAAGTCCTTGAGTAAGACGATATAAAAATCCAACATTACGATTAGATTTCAATGAAAATTTATTAGGACCAAATGTATTAGCACCAGTTGATAATGACGAGAAATTCATATTTTCTTGATAAATGAATAGATTTGTAGTATCAGACAAAGTAATCATTGTAATAGTATTTTCGTCATCACCATTGCTATCATCATTATTATCATCAGTATTACTGTTCTCTTCATTTGATGCACGTAAATGTATCAAATCATTCAGACCATTAATTAGAGAATACAACAGACCGGTTACATTACCTAATAAATCTAAACTACCAACTAACCAACCTGAACGAAATAACATTTGAGTAATATAATGCATTGTCAATGAATATTTCATTGAATTCCAATAAATTAATGAACCAGATAAATTATTTGAATGAGGATGATCATCCTCATTATCATCATTATTCAAATTTCTATTTTCATAATTAAACAATTTAAATGAAGTGAAATTCAATGGAGCTGAATGACATGATAAATACAAACGTAACATTGCATGTAAACTGAGATTAATTCGAAATGAATCAATTGTCAATTGTTTACATAAAAAGTAAGCTTGATCAATTAGTTTTAATGATGAATTATGTAAGTTATTATTATTATTATTAGTTGATAAATAAAATTTATTTAGAATTTGTGCAAAATTATTAAATACACCAAGAATATCATAGATTAAAGAATCTTCTAGATAAACATCTAAATTAGGCGGATACAAGTACAAGGCAGTGATAGTGCTAGGAGAAGAAATTGTTGATACAATATTAAATAATTCTTTATCTAATAATAAAGTTGACAATGATAATGAGGTGAATAGAATTTTTAAAATTGTCTTTGGTTTTCTCAATGGAATTGTTTGTACAATCACTGGGAAATCATATGCATTAGTCCAAGAATGACACCAATTGTCTAATTGTAAATGTTGTAAACGCATTTCAACAGTCACTTGTTTATTTATGATAGAATGATGATCATACAGGTGGATAATATTATTTTTCAATATTGAATTATTGATAAGAATTAAACTTAAATTGATCATGGTTAAACGGATAAATTCATCTCGTGGTGGTAATAATTCATGGAGTTTATACATGGATGTTGTATTATTAGACAGTGATTTATTTGTTTGAGCATAATTATGGATCATTCTATTTTCTATTGTTATTAAATGTGTACAGAATTTATGTATAGTTAATTGTATTTTATGTAAATACTGGAATGAATTGTTGTTTATAGATAATGTTGGTGATAACAATAATAATTGATTAGTAGTAGTAGTAGTAGTAGTAGTGCTTGGATTATTACAATTAGTAATATTATCCATCAATTGAATAATTAAACCAAATGACATTTCATTCATTGAATAGTATAATTGAATCATTAAATGATCATTGAGAATTTTTTGTTTCTGCCATAAACCATTGGATTTATCCATAGAAGAATATAATTCTTTAAGATTTATTTGAATAGGATTCACATCATCGGCATCACCATCGTCATTATTGTCTTTCTTCTTCTTCTGTATACCAAGATTTAATTCCAGTACAGAGAATTGAGATGGATGGAAAAAATTCAAACATACATCTTTGACATTTTGATGATGATTATTATTATCATGAATGTTATAATTATGATTAACTATATCCATGTAAAATAATTCTAATAAATTTTCTGGTAGAATTGATAATTGTGAATTTGCATAAATTTTATGAGGATACCAATTTAAAAATGTCTTTTTCAAAATGTTTTTCATTGAATCATTTGATAGTTTGATCATTGATAAATGTTCTTTCAATGATGATGATGATGATGACAATTGGTCGATTAGTTCAACAGAGTATACAAATGAATTGGTACAATTGTAAATATGTAGTGAAAATGGATTTAAATTTTGTAAAATTGAATTCTTAATCACTTCTATCATTATTTGACCTGTAAATTTGTGTTCTATTGTAGCGATAAACAGATTAGGGTATACATTCAGAACTGGACCTGTAAATGAAAGAAAAAAATCAACATTTAAAACAATATAAAGTTAGTATAATAGGATATTATCTCTATAACTACGACTGTCCGTTGTTAGGTTCAGTTAAAACATTTGATTAATATGATAAACAATATAATAAACTTTCTAGTCTTTGACAATACTGAGTTCTTTTAACGAGACAATCTGTGTTGCAAATATCATCACTAATTAAGTCAAGTCAAAGGCTAGGTAAAATTCACAAAATATATGTAATCAGTATGCAGTTATGATTATGATTGTTTTCTAATATGATGTAAAGGTGAACTTGATATCTCTATTATTCTTATTTTTGGAATGTTCAAAACTTTCAGAATAAATAAATGGAGAATAAACAAAAACGTAGAGGCAGACGTGGATAGTGGGTAGCAATAGAATCCAGGATGTGAATTTCGAACTATTTAGGATAACGCGATAGTGTTTGGAGTGAACAGTACCAGGATAGAGATCCGGAGTAAACATCAACTATGAGATGCACGTACATCCAACTAACAAGTCCCTGACTCTATATTTCTATTTGTTTTCTATTAACGTTGAGAAAATGTGCATCTCTGCTAATAATGCTTATAGCTTGAAGGTAATATCAACGAAATCCGCACAGGATGCAGCTTGATTGGCTTTTGTCAACTTGCGTCACTTATGACGTAGACGGAATATCTGTTTGTTAACCAAAGGATGAGTCTACTGAGCAGCAGTTTGATCCGTCCTACTGTATAGCTGTGAAACATGGCGTTGATATTCGTAAAATACTGCTTTTCGATCGTACGTGCCTTAGAACCATTTCTCGTACATCCTGAGGTCACCGAGTAAGCAATGCTGTTATTAGGAAAAGGGTGCTAGACAATGGCAAATCGACTGATGAAGTACTGAATCTTCATCAATTGAGGTAGTTAGGTCATGTGCACGTATTCCCGACCACCGGACTGCTTCGATGAACTATATTTTGTGATGTAGGGGTAGACTGGAGGAAAGCTAGAGGCGGCCACACCAAAACATAGCACAAGTCCATGAAATCACTAACAAGTGGACTGAGCCATATTGGTAAGTGTTGATTATCTGGTTGGGGTCCGCGAGAAAACAGTAACCAATGGTTAGAGACCTTGAATGATATAGCTGAAAAACCGTTTGCAATGGCGCAGGTATATCCATACGTTGCGTCCTTTCAAATCCTAACCTTCTGAATTCCTCATCACCTCCATCTTTCTCTTTTTAAATTTATTACACTAAATTATACTTCTTGCATAATATCTTCGAACCCTAATCTTCTCCATTACTGCTAATACTCCTACAACCTCTATTACAATGGGATCTCTGTGCCAATGTGTTATGGCAACGTGAACTGATGTGCGTAGGTACGAAGTTCTATGTTGTAGCTAACTGACTGACTGACTCTTTGTTGTACTATGGATTATCTACTTTGAATTATATTAACACAGTTATTGCGTAATATTTTGAGTAGTTATATCTATATTCTTCACTTCTTAGCATCTCTTTGTTCTGTTGTTGAAAATGAATATATGGAAAGTTGGGCATAAGAAATACTTGTATTCGACTTTTGATATCCGCACCAACCTCAACAAGATTTGTCAACATAGCATATGTAGCGTATGTAGGATCTATATTTTGTCTAGATCATTGGCGATTTAATTACACTAAGCTCAGACCTCCAGTATTAACATTGAAATATGTAATTACATTCCTACCATCAAACATGGCTAGCTCACTTGAGATGTTTGCTCTTAAGTAATATAAAGTAAAAGGAATTTTAACAACTTAAATAACGAAATGTATTGATGAAAATTTCAAATAAATCAAATATATCCATAAGAAAATTCAAAACATACCTTCCGAAACGATTGGAATCGACACTTGACTAAGAAATATTGGCATAGAACAGAATGAATTTCGATGAATTACATTATGCGAAATATTTGGTAGTCTGTGAAGTGGAAATACTTCTGACCATTGTGTTGGAACAATTGAAGCGATTGCAATTTGCATACAATACAACAATTCTGCATTCAATAATGATTTGTCAATATCATGACTTAGATTCCACCATAAAACAGGTATATTATTATCACTATTGTTTCTTTTTGAAATTTCAATAACTTCAGTTAATGTCGATGAAGATATCTAGATTTTGAATTTTATGTAAAACAATAATGTAAATCACCAACGTTTGAAGAACAAATAAAATTATAAATACCTGTAAATTCTTTTTTAAAACTATTTGATTCATATCATCTATATTACCACGCATATTAATTTATTCTTTGACATAACTGTGGTGGTGTTTCGTTGTCTGAGCTGGTTGTTTTGGTTGTGCAGCTTTCATTGTTCTTCTGAACAACATCATCAGCACAAACTCCAGATAGAAGTGAAGCATTCGAATTTCTCCACGTTTGACCTGTAGCATGACTGTAATTTATGGACGAGTAAATCAGATTTAAGATGGAAACTTTCGGGTTTCGACGTGAAATCCATTCATGATAAATAGCATTCTAGAGTTGTAGCTGATACCAGTCCGCGATGCGAATCCTAACTCTTAATCATAACAATCACCTCTAACCGTATATCCTAATTCTAATTTATTACAATGAAATCTAACCTTCTGGTAACCCTAGTAAGTGGTTACAGTTCCTCAAGGTCACTCTTATTATCACCCAAAAGTTGCGCATAAATTATAGCTTCACCTATTCTTCAATTAATCCTTGCTACAAAATTTTATTTAAAATTAATAAGAACATGCATGCTAAGGATAGATTCGGATCTGTTAGGCGACGGTTAAGAAAGATGAATGCACTAGATAATTGTTTTCTTTAATCTAGAAACACTTTAACTAAAGTGTAATTATAAACACACCATAGCAAACTTATGTAATATTCCATAAAAGTCAAATATTTGAAATTTTTCCTTTGTTTAATGAATTAGTGCAGCATATAAGAGTGTAATATTTACTGGAGATTTCGTTTTAATAATCTAAACCTATCTGCACATTTTTTTTGAACGCTCTATTGTAGCCTAACCCAAATCTCGACAGACTGAAAAAGAGAATGAATTTAAAGTTAGAGCTTGAAATAAAATCCCCCAGTGAAAATTATGCTCTTATGAGTTGCACTCACTGATAAAAATGAACAGAAAAATCTTAGATATTGCACACATCTTGGACATTGTATAGTAAATACACTACAAATTCACATCCTATTAATTTATCAACACAACACACCTTCATAAGCCTATAGAATGTCTTGTTTTAATTCCATGATTGAATTTGTTTCTATTTCTATTAATAACTGATAACATTTATCCATGGACAGTTTTTTTAGACTTATGGATAATTGTATGTTTTTATCTGTTAGTATGTTAAGTATATGAATCCATAAACTTGGTCAACAATTCATTCAGCGACTGATTACTAACTCACTTCACATACTACACAAATAAAATTTATATAACCATCCACCCAACGCACATAAAAACACATACAATAAACACTTTCTACAATCCCCTTTACTAAACCATTTTGTCAGGAATACATTTATTCTCATAATATTTTGTCTCCGACTTTGAATATCACATTGTCCAGTGAATCTGATTACAGACAAAGGGATTAATTAGTTTAGGGAACATACAAAGTAAATCAGATGAAACTACAATACAGAAAGTTTGCATAGTTTACTTATCATTAAGAAAAAACACGTTATTATCTAAATACTTGGATCAAAACATTCGTAGCTTTCAATGATAACATTCATATTCATTGAAAGGTTTATTTTGTGGTTTACTGTATATTTCAGGTATAAATCTACCTAGCAGGTAAGCAATTCAATGCAGAAAAGATGATCTAATGAAAGAGTTTACCAAACAAAACAAGTGTAAATTTTTAAGTGTAACCTTTATTAAATTATATTTATAACACACTATGAAAATCTACAAATATATCAATATAGTGAAAAAAAACTACTGATCACTTACAGAATGATTGTTATGTTGTATTGGAATAATAATTGGTTTAAATTTTACCGGGAAATAATCAGCTGGCCAATTGTGAATATAAAATCTTGGTTTAATTGTTATAATGAAATTATTTGATTTTGACATAGTATCATCTGCATTGTTGTCATAAATCGTGTCATTCAGTTGATTATTTGGTTTTAATTCAATTGTTAAACATAACATTTTATTTTTAATTAAAATATTGATATTTATTGTACTGGGAGAATTTGTAAAAGATAAATATTTAGATTGATTATTCCATGAGAATAAATCTACATGTTTGTCATCAATGTTTTTTGTTTCTCTATGATTCATTATTGATTCATTGGATGAATTTAATTGGTGTATGGTTATTGTTTCAGACCAAAATAATTCATTGTTCAATAAAACACCTAACTGAAAATGACGCTGCATTTGAAAAGGGTGAAGAAAAACAGGGAGAAAATAAAAACAGAGTCAATTTATCAAAAGAAACAAATGATAATGAATTGGCTGAAAGTTATGAATTGATAGGTGCTTCTGAATATTCTTTGAAAAAGTTTCCAGAAGCCCAGAAAACTGCAGATGTTCCATCCGGTCAATGATGAATGGAAAAATGAAAGATATTGTGGATGATCTGTTATTTTTTTGATTATCCATCCCTTACAACGTCTCTCATCACTTATGATTTGATTGTGTACAAACTTTGGTTACCTATTTGCAGTGTGTTGTAGTCTGATAATTAATCAACATAACTCTATGGGTATTTGGGTTATAATGATGAAAAAAATTAATAGGAATATTATCTGATTGCTGTGCTTTAACATTTGACTGGCTATACCAAGCTATAGAGGTAAGCTTCGTTCTTAACCATTACGAGTAAGGATATTCGTCTTCGTTTTCCAAGGTCATCTTTAGCCAGTCAAAGTAAAGGTGTGTCATTAGTGGTCTATAATATCGAATGACATGATCACGAGGACCCGTCAAATATAAGAATGTTCGGATTCTCATGTATAAGGTAAAACTTCTTAAAAAAGGTAAATTTGGTAAGAATTGTTGTACATAAACAATAGTAAAATAAATAAGTTCGTCTACACGCATATCCACTTGGTGAGAATTTAGAGATTGAATTCGGCAGACAATATTCTGCTCAGTAGGAAAAATTATGTGGTCCATCGATTCCAGTATTTTATCAGTTAGTTTTTAACGATACTAGATAAGCTAAAATTAAACTACAAAAAGACTAAGGGCGGAGAAACAACCATATAATGTCAATTGTTGCAACAGATTCATATCACTATGGAACTTGATTCAAACCAAGATGAAATAATTTGAAGCAGCGTATACGGAGATAACCAAGAGGCAATTGGAAGTTTTATTTGTTAAAACATTCCACATTTATACAACTCGCAATTTCTAATCTGACTTCAATATCTTTGGCTTTAACAGATAAGTAGTATAACTAGCCACATTAAATAGAGTCTTTAACCACTAAAGTACATATTTTTTAGAACATAAACTCATAATTTGACATTCTGTCATAATAGAAATCAGAACTATAACCAGTGACCATTTTTGTGAGTAAAATGTAATGTCTAGGTCTAATTACTCATCGGTTTTTTCTCAGTTCAATCTTTCAATACGGACAACATTACACGAAGGAAAAGATCGTACCCCATAGGCATAATTTAAGCAACTCAGTTATCCTACTAAGTATAATTTAACAGAATCATCAGTTAACTTGTGTTTATAAAGATTTTCAATGAATATACTTACTTGAGTTTTAGATAAAACTAAACATTCATTATCTCGAAATGATATATCACAATTATTATCAGTATGCAATGAAGAATCATCATTAAAACATGATAATTTCAAGTGTAAATCAATTCCTGTACAATTTATTAATAATAATTGTGAACGTAAAACAATTCGTAAACTATATTGTAAAAAACTTGAATTCATTAATTTTCTTTGATTATCATTGCGTAAATAATCTAAATAATCATTGATGGAATTATTGAAAAATACAAATTTCGGTATCATGCCTAATGTTGATATGATTGGTAATGAATTATTTGGTTGATTAGATTTTGTAATAAGAATTTCATCTGGATTATTATTTTTATTATTATTATGTTTTAATATTGAATTGTTATAATTTATATAAGTAGTAGCCAACTTTTTTAAAATTTCATGACTAGATAATCGTATTGGATGTGAAAATACTGATTCACCATTTCTACAAAAAAACAAAAATAAGACAACAGGTATATGTGAATAATTAACAAAAAGAGAACAAAAGCACTGATGAAAACAATATTTTCAATTAGAGTTATGGAGATTAGTGTTTTTACACATTCGAAATCAATCAATCAATCATTGTTAGACCACCATTAGAAACCTGAAAGCACTGGACGGCCGTTTCGTCCTGGTATGGAACTCATCAGCGGTGCGCATACACGACTCCTGCATCTCGCGGGATTCGAACCTGGGACATTAAAAAATTCTAGTGATTTATAACTTCACGGAATTCGGAAATGCCAAGTGATTCATTGAAATAGGATGGACTTGCGAAGTAAAAGCTATAAAACGATTTCGGAACTCAAGATCTAAAGAAAGATAATTAGTGGATGTATTTGCGCAACTGCCATTAATCGTAACGACAATCACAAGGACCCTGACTAGATAGTCTTTACCTACTTATATGGCTGAGTTCAATAGGCAGTGTCATCATGGACTGATGGCATGTCTTCGGTTGGTTATTCCTAAATATATTCCAACTAACAATTACACTATCCAGTATCGTGTGATGAGTTAGATGTTAGGTGGCAATGTGTAATAGATATTCCTACCGCTTCAGCCGATGGAGATTCACTGCCTTCTCAATAATTTAGTCATTCTAACCTTTTACTCTGTCTAACTTTTGAGTTGCGAATTTGATAGTATCAACATCCCATTGAAGGTATCTATGATCAAATACTAGAAACCTAAGAATATGAGCTATTTTTCAAGACCAGGTTTCACTATTATAAATCAGGATAGCAAACTGCTCAGCCGTTTATCATTATAAGCAAATAACAAGATACATGATAAGTATTAACTGGTCTAAGATAATAAAAATCATTTACCAAATAAAAGGAAAGATATTAAAAATACATTCTTACGGTAGAGTGCCTGTCAACAGTAAATTATAATGATATGCCAATTGAATAGGTTTAGCTAATACATAAAGGCAGGCACTAGACAAATCATCGATACTTTTATCATGTTGACATGCTAACCAATTTTCGTGATTAAATAAAGCCGGTGAAATAACTTCAACTGAAGATGAATTTGTATTGATTGTTTGCTGGGGACTGACTGCTTTACTCTCCAGTCTTAATGGAATTGGTATACAATTTAAAATCTCGAATAATGGAGACACTGTAATCTGTAAAAGAAACATATGTTATACAGCACGATAAATTTATGCTGAAGTAATAGACATGAAGTTTTCTTTGTTACTGTACATACACGATTAGACCAGAAAGATCTTGAATGGCTTTTTTACCACTACACCGATACCTTTCAGAAAACTGTTATCAATTAGATATTGATTAAATGGATAATTGAATGTTGAACACTAATGTAGGGAAAGATGATTCAGTTAATAAACGGTATTTTTAATGTATACAAATGTATTTACACCTAAGAGAAAACTGACTACTAAGCAGAGAATTGTAGTTAGCTAAATTTTGAAGAATAGACGGTACAAATTGTCAAGGGAGACAGTTGTTATGTAACATCCTATGAGGTTAAGTAGACAAATTGACATAACAATAAATAATTCAGTAGTCAAGAGGTTAGATGTTTGCGTAGGGAACTAGTGGTTCTGGGTTTGATCCTCGCTTGCAGAGTTGTGGATGAGCACTGGTGATGACTCACATACTAGAATGAAACGGCGATCTAGTGTTTTCACGTTTCTATTGATGGTCTAACATTGACTGATAAATGATTTCAATGAAAATAAGTTTAGAGTTGCTTTGTAAATATGAAAAATGACAATCAACCAAATATCTTGCAAAATTTATGCAAATAGATATCAAACTCTGAATAACAGATAACAAAAGTCTGAATCCATCAGATTTCAAATTGGTCATTAAATAAGATTATGCTCAACTCTAAGGAACTGTTCTACAGAATTAGAAAACTTCATGTGAAAATAATGTAGAGAGATTGACTGGACAGTAAGATGGAGAGAGACGTGAGCCTGTAAACGTTTGATTATCTAGTATTAATTGAATAGACTTAAATCAATAATTCAGTCATAATAAGTTTTTCGGAAATGAATGATCAGAGCGAAAAATCTTTCCTTGTGCTATTATCGAAAAATATGTAAGGAAGAATAAGATTAATGACTCATTTAGAAGAGTCGTGGATGTGCTCTGCTAAGGAGTGCTATACTATTAGGGAACAACCATCTGGTGATTTCAATAATATTACAGTACTTTATAAATAACAATGCTAACAAAAACATAAAATAAAGAAAAACGTACATAATTTGAATGTTTTTAAACAATAACTTACTATGCAAATTGGTGGAGTAATAAAACTTGTTGTATAATATTCAACAGTAATAATAGCATAAAATATAGAGGAACCAGTTGACAGATTGTTTTCACTATTCAAGGTAAGCTGAACGGTAAAATTAAAAACAATATTAAGGGTTTGATTTTTAAAGCATATAAATTGGCTCGAATTATCGATATTAGTAAACAAATAAATAGATAACTATTGCTAAATACTTTGGTACGACAATGAACAAGAAGGGAGAGCTGTTTCTTTCTTCGAGTGTTTTCAAAAGCCAGAATAGTTATATAGCCTATTATAAGAAAATTCCACACATTGATTTTGAGTACCGAAAGTGTTTTAACAACACTAAGGCTAAGAAACTAAACGTTCAATATAAATACGAAAAGTGAGTTAGTGTAAACAAGAAGTATATATACAAGCTTCAAGATATTATGGAAAAGAATAAGGTGAGAAACCTCGTCCGGTTACCGTTTGCTATAGAAATACATCTATTAACATCGCTCCATTAACTTGAAGATTAGAATTTTATTTCAAATAAAAAGAGAGGAGTGGTCCACTTGAGGAAACCATCTTTTCAGATTCAGGCAGAGCATTTATATTAACTAAAGTAAACACAAGTGATAAAAACAAACATATTGATCGTGCTGATTAACGCTAGCAAAACTTAAATATTTTTTTTTGATAATGTAACTTAGATTTTAGTTTATATGCCATTCCATCTGCATCACGTTTTTGTTTCTACAACGTGCAAAATATTCTAATATTCTTTTAAATTTTTACCTTAATCAAGAGCTTAACTTTGTTAATTCATAAATTTTATTAAAAGTTTAACATTTTCAAAGAGATGCTTTTCAAGAACCATTTACTGAATATGATATTTGCTGTAATTATTGTGAAATATTTTGGGGAAATACAAGTGACTGATCTTGGACATTCAAACTGTATTGTACAATCGGAAATGTGAGATTGTAACACTGGGAAAAATCGCTATCTAGATGTTCTGTGACTCAGTGTATCATATCCAGTGAACAACTGAGGATTTTTATACTACTCGTCAATTTTAAAAAGTATATTGTATTAGCATTCAGTCGAAAAAGTGATGTGGTATTGATATCCAACCTTATGGAGGAAGGTTGTTCGAACAAAGAACTGTACCAGTTAGGCATTTACATACACAGTAGTTTTGCGTAGTCAATTCAGTAATGTAAATTGCAAGTTAAATAATAAAGACAGTCTTATGCATAACTTAAATCTGACCATCTGACTAGTTGTTACATAGATAAGTTTTTTAAAATAAAAGCAATACAGATATTATTGATATCTGTATATGCACAAAGTATTATACATAACGATATACAATTCAAAATATGTAATTAAAATGATTTTACTTGAATAAGAGTTCGATGACTTGTTTCTGTTTGTGAATTCAATTGATCAGGTAATGGTATTTTGAAATTCAATGAATCTGACCACATTGTATGATTCTCTTGTAGTTGATTATTATTATTATTATTGACTTTAAAAGCAATGCATAAATCACATCCAAGTGTAGTATTATAAAATGGTGAAATGTTAGCTGATGTTGAAATGAATTCCATAGTTGGACCAGTGGAAATTTCAAATAATTGTTGTGTAGATTGTGAATTTTCATTGACAGTTTTATGTTGATTTGAAATGTTAGATAGATGCTTGTCTGTTGTACCAGTTGTCGCTAAACGTTTCTTAACTTCAACATTACTGGTTGAAGTACTTAGTGAACAAGTTAAGCATACAGGTAACAAGTTACGTACAACAACATTGGAGTGTAATATAATCTTTTTACCAAAAAAATGAGAGGGGAAATAAAAGTGAATAAAAAAGGAGTCAGTATCTTCGTACAAGCTAATGTTTAAGTAAAATATATACTGTTACAAAATTGCAAGCTGATTTGACGAATGTGATAAAGGGATGTTCATATTAGCTGAACAATGAATAAATATATTACTTAAATAAAAATAAGTAGAGAATGCCATGAACTACGCATTCTGACCGATAATGTCGATGTTTTGTTAAGCTAATAGTGATCACAATGACGAAATTAATTCAAAAGTAATTTTTCCAGTGATTAATTAATAAGAAAGAATGAAAGGCAATATGTGTTGAAATATCTTGTGACAGATAATGTAAACTATGGATGAAAAGGAGTAGAGAAACTGATTAGATGTACACTCAGTTAGTCGAATGGACTTAACAATAGCACTAGTCAATAAGCGTCAAAGTACCCAATGGTTGTGAAACTAACAATTTTTGGTAACTTTAAAACTTTTAGCGCACATTGACCAACAGGCTATACAACGGTTAGTTAAGTATCACCAACTTAGAGTCTGACAAAGATGTAAGTGGCTATTAAAAACACGTGTCAAGTATCAGTAATACGACTTGCGTGTACATGCAAGGCTTAAGAGCCTAATAGAACTGGATAATGACATTGAAATGTATTTTGACATTTTGCTTTCAATTTCCATAAGAAAAACTAAGGAGAGGTTTATGAAATATAGGTGTTACAAAATCAGGGTGTATAAGATCACTATTACCTTGGTAATGTAAGAAATTCAACTAATTACTATTGTAAAGTCAATTCTTTAAATCACTTTTTTGTTTGAATTTATACTGAGGACAATGGTTCTATTTTGCTGTTATTTACTACCAAATATGTGGGTGATATCAATAAATAATTAGCAAACAGTTATTATATGGTGTGCCTCCTAATATCAATAACAAAATGGAGTGTACATTATATTTACGTTACTTTTAGTGGAAACAATAAAATTTTTATGGTAAAATATCAGTCTTTCTTTTCTGATTGTGTATATAGATCAGAAACCATTGAATTATAGTAGTTAAACTGCTTTAGTTCAAATTTTATCCATATGATTCGTAGAATTCTTATTAAATCACTATTTTGTAACTGTAACATTATTATGCTACTAATAACATTTGTAGAATGTATTTGTTAATTTTTGGTTTTCACATTAAAAATTCCACGTTATTGTTCTTGTCAGTAATTATTGTAGGCTTTCAATTTACTTTCTATTATTTCGCATTATATTTCAAGTCATCAGTTAGGTAACTAATAAAAAAAAAATCATGACTATTCTCAATGAAAAAAGGTTTCGTGTTGATAGAATTTTTTGACTGAACCTCTACAATTGTTTTCATATTCACTTCATATATGCAATAGTCTATTGGAAAGTAAAGTACAATCACGCAATAAATTATTTAAAAATATAGAAAAGTTTATGTTATAAGCTGAAAACAATTGAGTATAAAGTACAAGCGTTTCATTATTAGAACTCATATACATATTATTAACATGAAGAGAATTAATACATCAATAAAGTATTTAAGAATGTAAAACTGATAATAATATATCAATAGACAAGAATGATATAAAAGTACTAATAGAACCAGAAAAACCGCACTAATACATTCAGTCAGTCAGTTTGGTACATATGTACATAAGGTCAAGTTGCCATACCACATTAGCACAAACAGATCGAATCGTCAATTTGAATCCCGTAGTAGTAGAGGTATTAACAGCAATGGAGAAGATAAGGGTTCGAAGTGTAATTCAGTGAGATAACTTTAGAAACAGAAAGACAGAGGTGATGAGGGATTCAGAAGATATAAATTTCAGAGAAGATAAAGAATGAATGCATCTATGTCACTGCACGCGATTTTGAGCCATTAATACAGTGCTACGATTGTTACCTTAATTTCTCGATGGAGATTCATGTACTCAGATTTGAGCCCCATTTCAATGTGAGGGCTGATGATACTACTAAACAAAGCAGAGGGGATGAGGTTTGAACCTATAACTTTCTGGGTGAAAGTAAAACCATTTACCCTTTAACCATTTAGTCGCTGCTTCACATATTCGAGGTACTATAGTAAAGCATTTCAAAATATTAGATTAGAATGAGATTGATAGAAAATGGAGTAAAACTTCAGTTATCATACAAATACATTAGTTTAATGAGCATCTATGTACATTTATGTACATATATTTGTTAATTTTTGAACTAATAGTTTAACAAAAATCCAGTGTCCAATATACAGTAAACACTATTTGAAATAATTTTTGGAGTTTAAATTTATATAACTTTACCATTTCACAAAGTCAAGATAAAGAACTGTCTCGATTCACGCTTCGCGTATCCAGAAGCCTTACTTCTGCTTCTCGTGATCCAGCTAGTGTCGCGACTGATCGAACAGATAATAGCGACCATCTGCTGCAGCTATGCTCAGATAACCGCCTATCTCTAACAAATACTAACGTTAAGCCTAAGGAAAAACATCTCTTAACATGGTGACACCCAAGGTAGAACCAACGTTGGATCCAAATAGATAACATCGCTATAAGCCGCCGATACATGGGCTCGACATAAGACTGTCGCTCATTCCGGAGCACATGTTTAGTACGAGCACATAGTTGTTTTTATCTTACAGCAAGGAAACTTCATAGAGTTACATTTAGCGGTAGCAAAGACAAGAGTATATTTCAAGAGCAGTCAGAAAAACAGTTATGCAGCCATTTAAGTGATACCCACACTGAAGCAGCTCGGAATGATAAGCAGAAAGCTGTGGAAACAGCAGTAATATTTGCTAGTAAGTTAAGGTTAAAGAGATCTCAGTAGTATCTACTGAACTAAGACACGCTCCGAAACTCATCCCGTCTACCCCAGAACACAATGAGAAGCTTAGTCAGCTCAAGCGCAGGTTGATAAGAAGCCTAAGCAATGATCGAAAACAGTGGTGTGTAGCGAAAGCAAGAGAGACGGAAAAGGCAGAGACGATAGTAGACAGGTATTTAGATTTATCAAGGAAACTGGTACTGGGAATCCGACTGTTAGTGAGACTATCTCGGAAAAGGATGAGATTATTCTTCACTCTCAGTTCAGGAGAGTGGATCGATGGGCAGAAAAGTTTAGGGATCAGTTCAATTAGCTTTCAGCCACACTGTGGTTGCCTACGATCTCCAATCAACCTGAATGGCGAATCGATATAAGTCCTCCAGCTCTCAATAGGGTTGAGAAAGCTATAGGAAATCTGAAGTGAGGGAGATCAGCAGGCCATGACAAGCTAGCCTCTAAGATTTTTAATGATCGCGGTTCAGTTTTAGCAGTGAAATTGACTGAGATCTTAAGCAGAATCTGGAAACTGGACGTAATACCATATAACTGGTCTCAATCACTGATTATCACAGTTTATCAAAAATACAAAAGTCCTCTCATAATATTCACAGAGCAATCAGTTTGACTAATAGTGTCTAAAATATTAGCCTCGATTATACTACGACGCCTAACTAAAACTCATGAAGAGCAGACTCGAGAAAACTAGGCTGGATTCACACCTGGACGTGAACGTATATACCATCTATTCACACTACGACAGGTCCTAGAACACACACATTTCGGCGACCCACAATAGTTGTATTCCTAGACCTTAGGGCAGCATTTGACTCTGCTGGTTGAAATGTTTTATGGCAGTGTCTGTTATTAAAACGAGTACCAGGGAAGTATTTTAACCTTATACAGGCGCTTTACTTGAATACTAGTGGTCGAATCACAGCTTACGGTGAACTGTGATTCGAAATGATTGTTTCAAGTGGCGTTCGTCAGGATTGTCCACTTTCTCCATTCCTGTTTTGTCATTGACATACGTTTAGAGATAACATTATTTTCGTCTGGATTTTCAGGAGTAGAACTTTTACCGGGAGATTCACTTGCCGACTAAGAATATGCCGATGACACAGTTCGATTTGGTGAACATGCTGACACAATGCAGTCTTCTGACCACACTATGCAACAAAGCAAGCATATTCAGGATGAGGTTCTCTCCTCACAATCCAAAATGTTGATTCAGGATTGGCTTGCATCGGCATCTAAACTAGTGGTAGGGAGTGAAGTGGTTCGGCGCGTTGACCGCCTCACTCATCTCGAAAGTCTCATCATTGGCTGATGACCTGCTGATACAGAAGGCTCGATTGGCTTTTACCAACTTGCGTCAACTATAACGTAGACGAAATATCCGTCTGTTAACCAAATGATGAGTCTACTGAGCAGCAGTTCGCTCCGTCCTACTATATGGCTGTGAAACACGGACACGAAGAAGCGAGGATATTCATAGGTTGCTGGTTACCAATCATACGTGCCTTAGAACCACTAATCGTACTGAATCTTCATCAATTGAGGTAGTTGGGTCATATATTACGTGTGCCCGGCCACCAGCTGAATCAATGAGCGACGTTGTCTGATGTAGTGGTCGGGTGGAAGAAAGTTAGGGGCAGCCAGACCAAAACACGGCAGAAATCCATCAAGTCACTGACAAGTGGACTGAGTCATGTTGGTGGCAATGGCGCAGGTGTATCCATTCCACGTCTTCTGTAAAATTCTAATTTTCTGAATTCCTCATTACTTCTATATTTCTCTTTTTAAATCTATTTCACTGCATTATACTTCTTGAATAATATCTTCGAACCCTAATCTTCTCCAATAACGCTACTACTATGGAATATGAATTGGCCATGGGATCTCTGTGCTGTGTTATGGCGATCTGAACTGATGTACTTACGTACGAAGTTTACGTTGTAGCTGTCTGACTGACCGCTTCAACTAGCAATCTTAGCTGAATTTCTTCAAATCTCATCAAAATCAAAAACTATCCTAACGATATCCGATTCAAATAAATTTACAACTCACCTTTCCCGGTAATCCATTCGGTTCACTAGCACAGACAATTAAATAAAGTTCAGGGAAGTGAACAGTAGTCCATAGAGGAGTTTCTTCCCATTTTAATGATAAAGCACATAAAATATCGTTATGCTGTTTGTGGACTAAAAGAGGCCAAGGTAGCTCTACTGGATGAGACCATAGAAGGATCTATTGAACAAAAATTAAATTTTTAATTTAATAATCAAATCGTGAAAATTATTTAATGAAGTAAACGGTTCGAACATCTAACATCAAACCAATAAGTCTGAATGTTATTTCGCTGTTGCGACTAGATAGTAGTGTTTATTACGTAGTACAAAACTTTTCAAATGAAAAATATGATTGATGAGCCGGTGAACGTAAGGCATGATTGGAAATCGAGCGAAGCTAAACATTCAGATGTGTTAAATATACGAGATTATATAATATTTTACATTGCTTAGGAAAATCATTTTTATTCGAAGTTCACTGTACGTCAACTGCTCATAAGCTACGTCAACAAACTACTGTGAAGTTTAATCTAGTTCTTAGTCGTTGGTCAGATGTGTAGATTCGGTGTACATGTTGTCAGGGTATAGTGATCTATTATCTAATATATCAACTGAGTATTATTTATTATTCTTATTAGTAAAAAATTTAATTATTGGTACAGAGTGATACCTAAAGATTTATGCGTCACACAAACCAATCAATTTACGCGTGGACTGAGATACTGTCCCGATTCCAAAATCGAAGCAGCTGGTTTTCTTAGAAGGCTACTTCCCGAACCCTTGACCTACAGATCTAATCCATAAGGCAGTGGAACAACATCAGGAAGATAAACCTAGGTGAGATGGAAGACCCTGGTTCCAAACCGATGATGCACATAGGCTCCACAATCCTGAAGGGAAAAGTTGTAAATAAACCTATTGTTGGTCACTGGCTACTGTGACCGATTGTCCACTCTAGTAATGAGTTCAATTATGTAGTGACCAAAGTTTGTTGACCCTAATGGTAGTATGTTATTCTGTATCTGGTATTTCGCCTCCCAGTGGTAGAGTCATAAGTACAAATCTTATTTTCACCGTAGTATTAATATAATATTATCAATAAAATCAATGAGTACATGTATATTCTTTTTGTTTAAAATTCCATTCAGATAAATTATCATTAATTAGTAAAATGATCTAATCTTATGAAAGATATAACCAACAGAATAAATTAACAAATAGTTCAGTTCATGAAAAATGTATGATATACTTTTATATTGATTAAATTAACCAATTTAAGAAATAAATGAATATAGAAATATATGCATTTTTACAATGTTTATAAATCAATTCACGTTAACTAATTTTCAATTCAAATCAAACCATCATTAAACATACACTTTTACATAATCATACTAATTAGTATCATAATGTGTACACTTACTTTAATGATTATTAGTCGATTAAAACACTACATTAGCTTTATGATTAAAGAAATAAAATTAGATTTTATTTTATTAATTTAACTGTACAAGATATCACTATATATGCGTACATGAAAGAAAAACATCACTAGATCAATACAAAAACTTCCATCAACTATATAAATTCTATAACACAAACCTTATAATCTCCATCATGATTAGCAGTAATGCCAATTCGTAATTTTATACGAAATGCATGACCAGAAGATGAAATTGGTCCAGGAAAAACAATCGGTCTCCAATAAATCGATTGTCTAGGTTTAACAAAGACATGAAATAAGTCATTCAGCGAATATTCAATTTCTAATGAAGATTGTTTTGTTTTGTCTACAGATAGATATTTGACCAAAGGTAATTGATCCAGAACCATGCACTAAAATGAGCATAAAACAAGGGTATTTATCATAAGAATAAATTGAAAGCAAAACTACGGATAACCAATAATAATAATAATAATAATAATAATAATAATAATAATAAGCATGAAAATATTGGATTGGATTGGATTCTTGAAATATAATATGCGTATACACAAAAATTACTGAGTAAATCATTTTTTATCAGTAAATCACATATATTCAATCATAAAACTGTTTGAAACATTATAAGAGTTAAATTGAATCACCGAGTGAATCAAACCTTTATGATGTAAGATTCCGAAGAAATGTGTAAATAAGTTAGTGAATGGTATACAATTTAAAAAAAATATGAAAAATCACGAGTTTATTAAGTCACAGACTAAGCGTAAGTAGTGTAAAGTTTTTGAGATGTTGTCAAATTGTGGCTGTAACAGGCAAATCTAAACTACACGTAAAATCTTAACCGTGAAACAAATCGTAACCTCGTGGCACTAAACTTTATGGGTGGACTAAACGGGCAGAGCTTCTTGCTTTTTAACATGAAATTTTTCTTCATCCATCCATCCTCTAGAAAGATTTTTCATTACTTTAAGATATTAGTTAGTGTGATGGGGACCTCAAATATAAATCGCTAGTCTTAGCACTAAATATCTAACCGTAATTATGGACATTATTATGTGGACCCCTTATAAATCTATTTAGTTCCTTCTAATGTTTCAAGAAGACAAATAATCTATTGCCATACGGATGATTTTAAGTGTTGCTGTTTTTTCGACTGACTGGCGGAGTACTTTGTAGAAAACATGAATAAAATTATTAAACCTGTAACATGTGTTCAAACTTTGTTGTTTATTTCCCCCATAAACTATCCATTTATATTGAACACTACAATACAATAACACGAACAATGAGTAAATCCGTAAATTTCAGTTTCAAACATAAAAAGTTACATTTGAATGATTAGCTTTGTAAAAATAGGATTTTAATTAAGATTAACTGTTTATAATTACTACTACTAATCACTGTTACTCCAGAAATCAGTTATGGCAATCATAAAAACAACATTTACCACAATAATGCAATCTCAAAGGGATTAAAGCAGTCACCATGAATTTTAAGACAGTTATTATTATTGTAAGTGAATAGATTGTGGAAAAGAACTTAGAATATTTCAGCGTGAACAAATTTTCCATAAATCTAGTAAGGTCTTAAAAATATTTGTATTAGTACAAATTCATCCATACGGATGTAGATAATTCTTCTTTTCGAAACCTCATAAAGACGTAAAAAAATTATTAGGAGTTTCAAGATTGTTACTGAATAGGATTAAGATCCAAGGTTTAATGTTAAAGATTCAAGATTAAGTATACGCGGTTTGTATTCTGATCAAGCTCAGATCGAGCTAAAGGGTTTATCAAAGTGTTAAATCCGTTATACATGAAAAAAATTCCGCATTTCAGAAAATTTGACTTTTCACTATCATTTTTGATGTTCTTAGCACTATACATGGATATTTCTTCTGCTCATTTTAGATAATATAATAATATATAATAATAATAATAATAATAATAATATATAATAATTCGTTGTTCAATTTCGCGCAAGAATGTAACGGTCGTTTTATCGATATTCTCTGATTGGCTCGTTTCTATACAATACGTTTACCAGTGAAATGTACACTGACCACATGAAATTTAGTCTTAAGAAAGATTCATTATAGAAATTAATAAAATTATTTAAAATCCTACCTGATTGGAATAGTTGATTAAGGTCCAACCTAAAGCAGAATTATTGCTTGATAGTGTAGAATCACTGGCAGATGACCGACAGCTTTTGTGATAAAAATGATCAGTTTGGAATAGGATATTTGCAAATTTATCAATACAATGTTTTATTCTTTGATTTAAAAGAATCATACTCATGAGACGATCGGAACTAATGAAAATATTTAAAGATTTACAAACAATATTCAATTTCTGCTTAGATAAGCGACAAAATAGATTCTTGTTAATTACAGTTTGTTGCAGCCGAGACCAATTCAAATCAGCTGTTAGTAGAGAAATTTGACCAATATCACATTGAATACTTTGATTACAAGGATAGTTTATGATTTTGAAAGGAGATAAACTTGATTTGTAAAGAAAATGTAAATCACTTAGACTACATCGACTCAATTCGAAACCACCAACATTTTGGCATTCCGTAGATTGCTACAAAAAAAACAAAATGAAAGTTTAAATCATCTATTCGAAACGTTTATCAAAAAACAATTAAACACTTAAACAATTAAACTCTCATATGACGACGAGTATATAGCTACTATCAGGGAAGTCCTACTCACTGTCTTCTTGTGACGGGAGTGCTTGTCATAAAATTGAAAGGAGCAAAAGCGAATGGCAGACCAGAACTTAAGCCGGGTTGTACGTACAGAGTAACCGCCAACAGCAGTTAGAAAATCCTAACTCCAAACCAATGGGTATATATGGACTTCAGGATCGTGAGGGAACAAATTGTGTATGAATCCACTGTTGGTCACTGGCTACCATGGGACTGATCCCCTAACGTCGTTCCACTGCCTCGTGAATTAGGCCTTTACGTCAAAGGCTTGAGGTCGATCTCCTAGTTGTCGTAGGTGGAGTCGTC